GTCACGATTAACTCATTTCTCACAAGATTAATATGTATTTTAAAATAGGAATCGCATATTTATTCGCCAAAATTTATAAATTTCATATACCTGTTATCTGATTTATTTCTTCTCATACTCCACAGGAATCTTTTGCCTTATTTAATTATAAAATAGTCACAACCTCAGAACAGAAAATATACCGATGCCACAGAATATTTAACGGAACTATTGTTTTCATCTTATCTTTTGAGATCCTAGGTCAATGATTAGGATAATTTTTAATGTTTCAATATTAAAAAGTAAAATCCATTGGTTCTTCAAAATGATAAATATCTGTCCTAATCGAGTAAAAGTCTACACACTTCGTCGGTGCACATATCTCAAACTTACTCCATCCATTTCACTTGTAGTCTATAGTATAGTTTTTGCAAGCCTGGAAATCCTCTACAGTAGTGTTTGCTACTGACATCAACAGATATAAATAGTATGTATCATCAATCGAAAGTGAAATACCTGGCAGCAGAAGGTTAAGAAGAGTGAAGAAAATAAGACGAGAACAGTGAATAATTGCTATGGAAATGAAGAAACAATAAAGTCTGTGACGATTGATTGACATTTGCAAAAGGAACAATCAAGGTTGAGACAATTGATTAACATTTTCCGAATAAATAACTTACTGTATGGTTCTCAGATTTTACTAAGATGTTCTGTAATTTTATGTTCAAATACATTTGGTTGTGCCCACTTATGTTCTCCTCCACTACATTACTTCTTCGGTTTGTTTGATTGGATTTACAATAATATTACATAACAGTTTCTATGATCAAATAAGAAGTAATCAAAATATTTATTATTCCCATTGGTTATCTTTGGTAGAATGTATATACTTCACCGTATATATCCTATATATTTAAGGTATAATCCTTAGAAAATATAAATATTTCCCATATCATCTTTTTTATAATTATTGAGTTACTTAATTAAATATAATTAATAATGTTGTGAGAATAGTAAAATTACCAACCGCAATCACCGATTCGTCTGTTACTGTTGAGAAAACTAAATTGTCCGTTTTTATGAACAGATGATATTCATCAAAATACTTTTTTTAAGAAAACATTTTCATTTGTTCCTTATGATGATGAGAAATGAGTGTTTTAATTAACTTTTATAAAAATTTCTTGAAGGTAGTTCCCACTCTTCATGGATAGATATTATTTGGGAAATCATTGATGATCAAGGATCTCTTATCGTTGGAAATGTTTATTTTATAGGATAGTTTGAGCAACTAATAGCTTTCCAAATATCAATAAAGCTATTTACTAATAGGATCATAGATTCACTTTTATTTAGTTTAAAATTATTTGTTGGAAACTAATAGATCAATATTTTAAATAAAATGAAGTCAGAAAATTTAGATAATGTGACTTAGTGATTTGATGTTATTGTATTGATCTTAAGATTGTAAATTTGTCTTATAGACGTATCAAATATAAACGGAAACCATGTTTACTGAGCAAAAATGGATAGTGGCTAGAAATGGGATCCAGAACGCACACTTCGTCCTATTTGGGACTCGTCAGCTGGATGCACCTGCATCGCAGAGTTGATGTTCACTCTGAGACTCAAACCCAGTACCGTTCGCTTCGAACGCCATCACGTTATTCACTTAGCTACTGAATCCTGGTAGCCACTTGCTTGTGCAAGATGGTGAAGTTTAAATTCACTTGGTGTTGTTTTACTTGTATCTTCCCAATCGCAGTCAGTTGCAGTCTTAAATAACAGTGAGAAGATACAAGTAAAACAACACCAAGTGAATTTATGTTTAGCTACTTTACATTTTCAACAGCTTTTATAGATCTGATACTAACTGAGTATAAGAAACACATTCACATCGCACAAATATATTAAATTTAAAAACAAAATCACTTTTATCAAAAGGTTGACCACTAGACTTAACTGTATTTTAGAAATTAGGTGCTTTGCTTTTTGTATCTTATTTGGATAAAAAGCAAAGGTAACTGAAAGGATTCTCGTGCAGGTTTAGTATGCTTAACAATAGTTGATCGTAATTCATTCATTTTTTAGAACACGAATTATAAAACATTTTATGTCGGGAATATCTATGCAGTACTACTTACTTACGCCTGTTAATACTCATGGAGGAAGGTAGGCTAACCACCACCATTCTCTATTCAGCTCTGTTCTGGGCAATAATTCCACGTGTTTTCAGTTGTTATTCAACCTTTTGATGCCTGTTTCCAATTCTCGATGCAGTGTATTCTTTAGTCTTTCCTGAGATTTCCAAAGAATCTCAGCTTTTAACATGAGGCATCATAATTCTTCTCATTAATGATCCTTCAACTTCTAGGACAGAACTTAACTAATTTAAATTGTTTTTTTTTGTTGAGCGTTTGTTTAGCAAGGTTGTTTTCTATGGGATGGAGTTACTGACCCCATACTCAACCCTTCTTTAGGCGAGCTTGCGGCCGACAGTAACCCTAGAATAGCTAAGGGCAGAGTTATTTATGCAGTATAATGCATTTTAATTAAATGAATTTTAGTTACATTGTCATTTATCGCAAGACTTTTAGTTCCATAATTTTATTAAATAGTCGATGAATAATGGGGTTGTATAGAATATTGTGAGTGAATATGTTTAGTCATATAACGAAAGTAGACACACTTATTCAACTGCTTTCTCTTTCACCACAGAATCCCTTCTATGCAAAATTAGATGAAAATTCATAAATTCATTTTGTTTAGATTACAAGTATATGACTATTTTTTTATTGACTAATAATTTACTGCTGATATACATGAATAAAGTACTTAATGTAACAATAAACACTTTTATCATTTTAATAAATAGGGATCATTTTGAGAGGTATTATCACGAAATAAAACTAGTTTCCTGCAGTTCTAGTGAGGAGAAGTGACCAGTGGAGTTCAACCGGGTTTGTTGTGAGGTAGTAACTCACTGAAGACAATAGTCGACGGTGGCTCAATTTCGTGGATTAGTCAAAGTTAGACATTAACATCGTTTGGTGCCAGCTCAGTAGTCTAGAGGTTAAGCGTTCGTGCGCGATACCGATAGGTACTGGATTCGAATCTCGCTTGGGGCGAGATAGTAGATGCGCACGCTGAAAATTCTTACAACTGGACGAAACTGCCGTTCAGTGCTTCTAGGTTTTCGATGATGGTCCAGCTTCAATTGACTCATGATCCAAACTGTTGAAATTAAGTAAATTTATTAAACTTCAATTATTCGGATGTACACATATAGATACAATAGAATCTCACCTATTAAGCTGGCTTAAATTAGAATATATTTGCAGTGATAAATTCTCGGCTTCGGAGAAGGCTAGTTATTCACCAAAGAAATCTATATTCAATTTATTTTTATCTGGTTGTGTATAATATATGTATTTATTAACGAGTTTTGAGGTTTAATTTCATTATATATATATATATATATATATATATATATATATATATATATATATATATATATATATATATATATATATATATATATATATATATATATATATATATATATATATATATATAATACGAAAACTCCGCCTGAAGCCCCTCTAGGGCTACTGCCTGTCCGAAGCCCTGATAAACGAGGAGGGTTGGGCATTGGGTTAGTTACCTCATCCCGTAGAAAACTAACTCGCTATAAATATGCTAACCAGAAAAAACCATTCAAGTAATATATGTATACGATTGTACAGCTTGATAATGAATTCGTTGATAGTGATATATTCTTTGAAATTTGTATTTCCACAGACATTTTTCGCTTCAATGTACTTGTGTTTCTTTTTTAAACTTGATACAGTTTAGTGAAAGTAGAACACATGACATTAAAAAACACCCCTTTATGAACATAATTTTTTTTCTACTTTTGCTTGTAAACAAGTTGAAGGTTATTGGGTGTTTTTTTAAAACACAATAAGAAAACTCTGATCTATGAAACTAGATTTTATGTAAATAATTTTTCACAATGTATGTTCATTTATTTACAAATTAGTTTAGTCTCTTCTACTCTAATAATTTTATAAATTTGACAATACAACAATCAGAATTTGTTAAACAAGTAAACACAATTCTCTTTCAGTATACAAATAACGTGCACGTATTCAATATGAAAGTATCTACGTTTAAAGATTGAATATGCTTATTGTGTTTTTTTTTAAATCAACAAATACATTTGAAGTCGTTTATTGCGTCATTCTGCATAGCAACCACATTTAATATTCACATTATGATCACCAAATGGTTTTCATCAGTAAGTCATTTTATTTCGAAAAGATATAAATTAGATAATTTAATAGGTATCATTGACTTTCGCCATGTTAATTTTCACGTGAAAAAATGGCCAGTCAGAACATCGACATATACGACTTTAGCCATGTGCAATACCAATAACGCGTTGATCAGCACGAGCAGCCTAGAGTCAATTCTTAATCTTTATTGGTTCTTCTTGCCTTGCTCAACACGTTGAGTTCAGAACATAATCTCAGCCTTCATTGTGTGAATCATGAATTTCAGACATACTCAGTTTACATACAAACAATTCGGATAACATCCTACCATAAAGTAGAAAATAACAATTATAAAATATCAAGCCAAAAGCGGTTGTGAATGTGAGAAGCTATAACTAATATATTGAGAATAACTTATGAATAATAAATTGTATAATAACAATCAATAGGTCAAATGAAAGCTTATGATCAAAGGAATACTAATATATACATATATAATCTAGTTACTGAATAATTATCCAATACGGATATTTGTAATAATAGTCTGTAAATAAGCCCTGACAGTTACCATTCATTTATTTTTTGTTAAAATATAACACTAGGGAAAAACAATTCACAAATCATCATTAGAATAGGATAAATCAATGATATTTCATATAACATTTCATCCAATCACTGTAGGACAATTATATTTTTGGTATAAAATAATTCCCAAACATATGACATAATAAAACTATTTTCAGTTTCTATTTTGAAGAAACTGTGCCACCTTTAAATATTTGAGAAAGGAATTTCCTCTTCTAAATTTTAAAGCTTTCATGTGAGTTTTTATTTATTTATTTATGGTTTTAAACTTATGTTAGGTTGTTTAAAATGATCAGTTTCAAATTGTCCACATCTTATTTTTATTGAGAATACTTTATTTTACCACAAATCAGAGTTACATGATCAGCTATTACACTACACACAGAACAATAAGCTTTGAGTAGCTAAAAATAAATATTTTCTTTTTTCTAATGTTTTTGTATTTGATCTGATAAATCTATATAGTTATTCAGAACTTAGTAACTGAATACCTAATACCAAGTTCAAACTTTACCTAAACTATCAGTTATATCAGATAAAGTAATTTATTTAGTTGGCATTTTCATATATAAAGTAATGCTACTTATGTCGACATAAGTAGTATACAACATCAGTCAGAAGTGAAATGCCTGACAGCAAAAGGTTGGGAAAATTGTATCAAAATGAACGAGAATGTAAACCGAGAGTAATTGTAATAACAATGAAGGAACGATAAAGTTGGAATCAAATGATGGAGGATTTGTAAATGAAGTATGTAATCTACGGTTTTCACAGTTTATGAAAGAACTCTGTAAATTTGTATTAAAGTAAATTGGTTGACACCCTCCCCCAAATGAATGTTCATTCACTGCAATACCAATATTAGGATGAACAAATCAAATGTTCCTTTTACATCGTTAATAGAATAGCTTATTTTAAAAATAACTCATTGTTTTTCAATGTAAAATTTATCAGTATTCACTAATATGCTTTAAGTTGACATAAAGTTTCTACAGATGATACTTATATATACAATGAGCATTTTTATTACTAACGGTGTTTAATACATAAGACGTTTATGAATGTCCATAAAAACAATGTCTAGACATCTACTGAGGTGGTTATTTTGAGAAATGTCTCGTACAGTTTTAGATAACAGTGTAAACCAGTGTTTTTAATTATTATGTTGTGATGGGGCATTTTAAAAAAATAGAATCTTTGGTCTCATGTGTCAACATAACATGATGAACTGATCAATCACTTCACTATCGTTGTGATAACTGGTTAGAATTATCAACTAAGCACTGAATTGTAATTTTAAAAAATTCCTTCCACGGTGCTAAGTAACTTACAGAATTCTAGTGATACTCTTCTTAGGAAACTCGATAAAACATAGAATGACCTAAAATAAAAACGTTAATTCTATCTAAAAATTAATTTTTCGTTAGAGGTTGTTTTGAAATGTTAGCTAATGTAGAAAACTGTTAACCGTAGTTGTTATATTAATTTTAAGAGTTGACTAAATTAAATTGCTAGTTTAGTGAAGTCATGACATTTTCGATGAAATCATGAACAGTCCAATCCTAGACTTCTATAAAAATCTAGAAGCGATGGACGGCCATTTCATCTTAGTATGGGACTTCTCAGCAGCACAAACCCACGACTACTCATATAGGGATCGAACTTAAAAACTTTGGCTCCTGTTATACTGGCTGTCTTGGCTTACATTTGTTGGTGTGTATGGGAGAGAAGAGTTAGGCGATTTGCGAAGTTCAAATTGTCTAGGTGCAACCAAACTGCTCATTGTATTCCGTGCTTTCTCTCAGATGCCGAGGCCTTCATAATCCAGTCGGCCACCAGACGAAAGAGAAAGGGCGAGAGTAGGAAGCCTTGTCTGATTCCGGTCCTCACCTGGAATGCATCTCTCAGCTGTCCTACATGTACGACTTTGTAGTGTAGTGCGTCATATGAATTTCGTATGATTTTGACGATCTTCCCAGCTATCAACTCCAAAATGTTGAAGAAGCTTCCATAAAGTCCTCCTATCCACACTATCGAATAGTTTCTGATAGTCAAGGAAGTTGATGTATGATGAAGAATCCCATTCAATGATTACTCAACGATGATCTTTAGTGTAGTGATTTGGTCTGTACACGACTGATCTTTACGGAATTTAGCCTGTTGATCTCGAAGCTGAACGTCTACTGAATCTTTCACCCTGATTAACAACACTGTTGAAATTGTTTCCTGATACCGACAGTATTAATGATTATAATTTATTTATTTTAATTTTTTCCATGTTCGGATTTAATAAACTCATTAAATAATTATGAGAGCAAATTAGTTCAAGTATAGGTTTTAATGAAGTCTTGATTGTTCGAGTTATAATTTGACTTTAGCTGGTGTTGAAAATGTCTGACTCATTGAATAAATGTGTTTTCTTGCATTCTTTTTCGTTGATTTACTAAAAAAATTTTCTGTTCTATTCCGAACTATATTTGAAAACAAATAAATTAAAGGGAAACGCAAAAAAACATTCCCTGTTATAAATATTTAATTAGTTTGTGTGTAATTGTATCAAAATATATTTACTTATATTTATGAATATAAAGAGTCAGTTACGTGTAGTTGAGACAAAGTTAGGGATCGTTCTCTGTTAACAACCAAAGCCAACTCATTCGAACAAAGTTAAACGGAACTGGACGTGAATGAACATTCACTTCTTCTTCCATGACCTTTAAATACTGAGTATTATGTGCTGCACATAATCTTCAAGCCGGGAATAACTAGAGACCTAAATAATGTTTGAACCCCTATCTTCTCGTTTAAGATATTGCCATTTGTATAGTTCAGCAATAGTGAATTGCGCTCACGCTATATAAGATATTTTAAGTGTTAGGCCGGTTTTTCTCTACACTAATGAGAGAAAACTGGATTAGTTGTATAATTTGCATCAGGGGCTTCTAGATAATGGACTTTAGAATTCACTATTTATATTACAATACCCAACAAACTATAGATAGTTCAAAATTATACCCCTTTTTTTCTAGTAAACAGAAAATATCTCTGCCATTAATATATATCTCATCCAAACCAATTACAAATTAGTAAATCATTCTATGCCTGCAACCAGCTGGTGGGTTATTGTCATAAAATTCCTATAAAATATTAGAAATTTTGCACTGACAAATTAACCCTACAAGCTATAATATTATTTTTATAAATTTGTAGACAGATTTTAAAATGATTACACAGAAAGTATGTCAACATTCATTTCATCTTTATTCGTTGTTTTCCTATAAACCTGGTTCAATTTATCATATGAGCATCTAAATAAATGGACAGAGATTTTAGTGAATATCATCCTAGTGTACTATATTTATGTTGTTATAGAATGTAATTTCAGCTTCCATTTTTCTCAGGGCACAACACATTGAGAAATGAAACCGACTTTAGATCAACAGGATCATATATAGCTACATTTTTAGTAAACTAAAAACTTTAACGGAAGTGATAATTTGTTTTGTATCCAAACATGTCAACAGTAAGATATTTTGTATACGTGTTGATTCAGTTTCTTTTCTAGTTATCTAAATCCTGTCTGTTTTAATTGTACCCTACCTAGAAAAATGGTAAAGTTTAGTAATGAATGAAATTAATGATTTTATTCAGAAGTACAGAATATATTCTTTCCCACATAGTAAATGGTGAACATCACATTTAATTAGAAAAATCTCTCATGGTTTCATGTCAAATACCGAACAATCTATTAATATTAACATGATTAGGCATTTTCTAAATAACTGACGTCATCAGGATTAACTCCTTCCTAGGTATTCAAAAAAAGCTTTATTTACCATTTCTGTTTATCACGATCTATCTGTGGGTCACCCTGTACATAAGCCATATGTTACGTGCTCTTAACTCCCAACACCCTTCTAAATTTATCTCTGCCCTTCTCTTATTTTGAATTTCGTGTTAATTTTCCTAATTTCACGTGAATTTCTTATGATCATTATCATAATTACACGGAAAATATTTCTCTTAATACATATTATATCCAAACGACCTTATTATTGTTATTAACACTACTACAATTATCTCCACCATCATGATACAGATTATATTCATGTGATTTATCATATTTCACTAATTGCAATTCAACACCTTACAGCAAATTTTACTACCCCTTGCTAGAATGACATTTGTAATGAAGGCATGCTGGACATATTAAAGCATTTACATGTCCTAACTCATAACTTATTTGTGTATACGTTATTTTGGCCAATGTAATTTGATCATTTTTACTTTAAAAATTGTAAAATCTGTAGATAAATATATGGAGAACATTTGTTCAGTCAACTACTCCTTGTTTTTAAATATAGTAAATTACTTCAAAAGTGAATCAAGATTTGTGCCTGCTTTATTAATTATAAATCCTTCATTAGCAAATAAATCACTCTGTAATTAGAAATCATATCTTTAAAAAGCGTTGTTACCTTAATTAGCTGTTTTCTGAAATTCTAATTGTGTGGCTATCAAGATTCAGTAGCTAAGGGAATAATGCGATGGCGTTTGAAGTGAACGGTGCTGGGTTCGAATCATATTTAGAATTTTTTAAACCAATCAGTTTTTATTTATAATTAGTTTGCAGAAATTTTAAAATTATAAGAAATTTGAATTAACCTTCTAGAATGGTTAGTTATGCTTTATAAAGATTTATAAAGACAGAAGGCACCATGGTCTTAATTAACTTAGAAATTGTAAAATTTGTGATTTTGATTCAGATCATGAGTAACAAGTTCATTATATTATTCCAGCATTTATCCAATCTCATTCATTTATGAAAAATGTACTGTGGTACTGCTTCGTTACTAAATAAGGCATATGGAGAGATGTAATTGCACTATGTTGTTGAAGCTACTCACTTTCGTGAAGAAAAGTATTTCTATGCCAAATGTGGAGTTATATTATATCTAATTATTTATTGCTAGTCCTTTGTAGTTTTAGTGTTACTGGTTTCCTACTTCCAGTAACTCAAGGTATTTCTTGCATAATAACATTATTTTCCTTAAACATGCCAGTTATTTCAAGCACCCATCAAACTTTACGTGATTTTATATCCTTTTCAAAACTCACGAAAAAGTTAATTAACATTTCGCATACTAATAAAGAAAATTCTAGAAGAACAAAACTATGAAAGATTATACTATCTATTTTACTTTTTTAATTAAATCTCAACAAGTTTATAGGTTACTGATGTTTTTGTAGATGGCGAATTATTCCTTCCGTTTATAAGTGTAGTATAATTTGTCAAGTTCTAATCACGATCGAATACATTTTTAGGAAGAATATTTGTTATACATCTCTAAGAGCAATTGTAATTATACTAAGACCACATTCGAACTATGTTTAAAACTAAAAATATCATTTTTCTTAGTATATTTTAATAATGGTGCTGCAGTTTCCGTTATAACGTTAAGCCTATATACCTTATTCTAGCTTTCTGACAGGTCAATCTATTCATTCTACTTGAGTCATATTTTGACCTTGTTAATTATTCGCTTATCAATCTTGACTGTTTTTATATAGGTGCATAGGTGTGTACACTTCTTATCCTATTTATCACATGTTAGTAGTTTATTTTTATGTGACGATAAATATTGATTAACACTTGACTAAATGGAGATGGCTCACGAGCCTTCTTCATTGCGCGTCATTTCAATTCGCTCTCTTCTCTTCACTTCTCTGATATTTTGTCTGGATCAAAGATCGTATGAAATATACGTATTCGAGATCCATTCTCGTATTTGACCTATTTAATTCCGTTATTGACTAACTCGATTTAAGTCGATGATTATATACGAGGATTGACGATATGTATATCTCAATAGCAATCAAAAATGATCAAACTTGAGTCAGATCCCTGGCCACTAAAAGACAATATTTTTCTCATTCTTTTTGTTCCAGGAAAGGTCATGAACATACATTAGTGAAAACTCCTTCAAAATCATGTACAAATAATAATGAATGCATTGGATCACACATAAATCCCAATAATTCTACAAAAGCCTATAACACTGAAGTGAGTCTTATTAGTTTTAAAATGAGTATACTATTTAGTTTAATGCCGAATTTTAAGTTAAGTTTCGTCCTTATCACTGATAAAGTATATCACCTGTATTGTGGAATTATTACTTTTTTGTGAGTAACTCATATATTATAAAATATTATAGCATGAAAGGGAAGAAAATTACATTATTTTTATATCAGTATAACATTTTGAGAAAGGATTAACCACAATTCATGAAAACAGGAGATTATATGTAGCAGAGAGATTACATTTTTCATTTATATAGTGAGCTTAATAAAAAAAGCTACGTAATAAATACATACTGATTCTATTTGTATTTAATGATTGTTTATTTAGTTTATTGAACTAACCAGGATTATCTGGACAGGAATTGGGACAGTTGGTTCAGTAATTACAATATGCAGCATGTTAACTGCTATATTGATATATACAGTATATCCGTAAGTATTAGTGTTACGTAGGTTATATATGTTTATCTCTAATATTACTTACGGATTCAACAAAATTTTGACAAACAATTTTTTACAAACCATGTTTGTTAATTATAAAATTTGTCGATAGGGAATTTATGAAGATTGTTCATCTTGAATTAAGTCTTCATCACGGACTGATCTAAGTCGTAGTTTCGGATTTCCTATTAGTTTGAACTCAGGAATTCACATAGGATAGAGATCGACATAGTCAGGTCAAGCTGATGGCACATTTCTATGGAAGAATATTTAATTAATGGAGCTTAATCAGTTATACAGTGAACCGTTCATTATCAATACATTGAAATGATCTCAGTGACTGAAATTTTAAGAAATTCCGACGGTTCACCTACCAACTGTTATGATAACTGCAAATGAACTAATACTATGTTTGAAAATATAAATCAAATATTTCTACTTAGACACTAGGAAGACAACCTCAGTGAAGAAATATTTCTTTGTCATTTGCTCATCATCAAGGCAGAACAAAATATATTTGAAGCACTAAAATAAAGATTACTAGGTATAATTATCTTCTTATCTGAATCCATTAAAAATTGTCCGATATGGCTGCACTGTTACTTAGCTAGTTAAGTAGTAGTAGTACTAAATACGGGATATGCTTTTCAACCTACTTGGAACTCATCAACAACAAAAAAATACTAACCCTCACAGATTAATTCATCCCCTCTGGCTCTCTGGACTCAATGCCTCAATCGATAATACATTAGAATTTAAAGTGATGGGGAATGGATTCAAGTCTCAGCTCAAGCACCAACACCGATGGAGTTATATCCAGCTGACTAGTCCGAAATAAGATTAAATGCGCTTTCTGAATTCCTGTCTTAGCCAATGGATACAATTTACTGTGACTTTTTACTGTTAAATCATACACAATCGAAACTTCAAAATATCATGATAAATTTGTTCACTTTTAAAACTGATAAATTTATTACATTTATGCATTCCACTTTCAATAGCTTTATCTTTGAATTTAAAAGTAGATAACCTTGGAGCAGAAAATTTTATTATTTCTTCATACCTCATGATTATCCGTAGTAATTATCCACCAGTAAAATCTTTTGTCATCACCACTGATATAAGCATCTTTCACAAGTATCAAAAACGATAAACATTGGAAGAAACTTCAGTCTGATGCCTAACTTTACATCCAAACGCCTAGACATATTTCGATTCAGAAACCTAAGATACTATGGTATCTCTTAGAAAATATCCCCATCTGTGGTCATCATATTGTAGTAGACGCTACTCACAAGATTGTTTGTAAGTAGCATGTAACGGAATGTGACGTTGGAGTTACAGTAATTGTCAGACAGAGTAAAGAGTTTAAGTACATCGAAAGCATGGCGTTGATAGAAAGCTTGGAGGTTAATGGAGAAGACAATTTAGACTGCAGAACATACCAGGAAATGCCAATGAACGATTGGAAAGCTTTGTATATATATAATGTAAATACCTTACTTGTTATCACGTTTCGCGCTATGACTAGATTTAATGTATTACAACGATAAATAAGTCATTATTGTTTTTTCAATCCTTCACAGTCGATGCAGTTTTCATCCTTGTGAATTTAAAGGAACATAATATCTAGTACTATTTTGAAATATCTGATTCAATGAACAGACTGTTATCGCATCATACTAAAAAACTGAAAAAAATTGAAAAGGATTTCCTTAATGAAAAATTGTCATAAAATGCAGCGAGACCATAATCTATGGACGGACCGATCGAATTTAAGACAACAGGTCTAGATTTTTAGCGCGAAATTCATACACTCATTTGGCTAAATACTTTAAAGCTGATGTCAGTTCGTGATGAAAATCCTAAATTTAGTTCTTAACTATCAACTGTAAATCATAATCACAATTCCGCACTGATTTATAACGCTCATTTAGTCCTAGTTAGTAGATGAACGTTCTCAAGGTCATCTTAGCGTTGCTCAAAGGTCGTCCATAAATTATAGTCTCACTGAAAAAGCTGTTAGTTTTCTCAACTGAACTAATTTTCAAGTAAAATGTTAATTTACTTGTTATTTTCAGATGTTTACGAAATTTCAGATTTAGAATACATCTTCATTTATTCTTCGCATTACTACTGGAATCTATTGCACAGCTTATATTGTCTTATCTTTTGTTAAGTAAAGTTAATCAAATAAATGTGAATAATGTTGAAAATGAAACAATACATCAACCATTTTCAAGTTCAAAAGAGATGATGTACAGTTCCAATTCACAATCAGTATGTATTTAAAATATCTTGTTAGATTTTATCATAAATAATCACTTCAAGTTTGTAAATGAATATGTATTACTACTTAAAAACACTTTACTAATATATATATTGACTAGTTTTACAATCAATTTCAAGCTTTATGATGTTATTACCGGCAGTTGGATGATGGTAAGAGTTTTTCTCATTGAGAAATCAAGATAGATTTATTAAGTCACACAATGCAATAATTTATCAAGTGTAATAGTATACTTGTAAATGTAAAAGTGAAGTACATTGCAATCTACATTATCCACCTAACCAAAAATTATACACCCACTAATATTCGTTGGGTCATTATGATTGTATATAAATATGCAGGTTCCCGTTCATAAAGTAACTTATCAGAATATCTCTGAATATGATTCATTACGTTATCCGGATGATTAACTATTTGATCAAATATCATTTTAGTTATAATGTGACTACTGCATAAAACTATTGATACGTTACTTTAAGGGCAGAATTTTAGACTACTGTCTACATTGTTTGTCTTATTTACTGGTAGAATGTAAGCCAATATATTTACTGACTGATGACCAATCTAGAGATATCAAGGCTTGAGAAAGTCCTTTGTATACACTGTATTGTAGATAAAAGCAAGGTTTCTCCAGTTGTTTGTCGAAATGACATTCACAGTTTCATATCGCCAGTTGGCGATATGAAACTTAAATCGAAAGTTAAACAATTGTCAATAATCATATTCGTCTCACAAATCCATTCATTCAGTCTCAAATATATACTTATTTTCCAAAATAATATTCAATAACATGTCTGTTAAAAATGATAGTAACAATAATGTTAATAATAACAGGTTTGCTAATAATGATAACAGAAAAAAAGTAAAATAAAAAAGACACAAAGAGTATGTCTTTCCGACTGTACAACTTTGAAGATGAGTACACTGAAAAGAGAATTGTTCTTATAAAATGATTTGTTATACATCTAGAAAGAAGAACAGAATTAAGTAAACATATTGAAGTAGATTATATCAGCTAATAAAGCAAATGATAAGAAATTATCAAGTAGATCACATATTTATCATGACTGAACATTAATGCATAACTTATGAGACTAAATCCTGTATTCAAAAGGGATTTGTATAACTATAACTTTCTCAGACATGATATTCAATGAAGAAGGGTAATTTACACATAACCTAAGATAACCTTTTTCAATTTTAGACATAAATACTTATGCAGAGCCATGACGTCTTGAATTTAATTCCAAATGAAATAGTTCTGTTTATAGGGATAAGGCTAATACTACAATTAGTACTTGGTGTGAATGAATGGTTGCAACTATCTGATAAAAAGCTGTTTATGTAAATAAATTTAGTTCGAGTACATGCTTGAATTCTATTTCTTAGGATAAATTTCATTCTCAACATCTTTTTAGCCTAAAATAGTAAATTCCTGTCTCTTTAGGTATGCTAATAAGATCACTGATATTGATTGGAAATATAAAATATATAATTACATAACAAAAGGAAATAACTGTACTACTTCTTATCGTATGGCTCTGATCCGTTGCTATACACTACAGCTTCGTTCAACCGCACAGATATTGTAGCTGTTTCAACAAATGGAATCCGATTGAACTAAATAAATGAAGTTTCAGTAATATGAATATGCTGACTATATTGACAAAACCAAAACGTCTATCCGTATTTATAGAAAAAAATCACTACCCACGTGACAACACAATAATATATTGAATATTTGTGAGCCGCAACTAATGACATTTTAAATAAAAGACGATAAACTAGTTTTGCTAACCCTATCAATCTACATTATACATTTATCGAAAATAAGGAAACATCGGATAGTCGTTTAACGGTAGTACAGGGCTCCTCAGAGACAAACACTCGCAATATTTCTATTGGGAATCGAACTCAAGACCAAAGGTCTTGAGTGTGAGCGCCTACCTCGTAGACCACGGGGCTGAAATCCAGTGATGCGTATGTCTAATCTTAATCAATTCATGACGTTGCGTGATCATCCTTAAGGGTCTAGAGCTCACTTCTCTATGAGTGGATTGTGGACGAACACGTCGGATGAGCCAGATTCTATGGAGAAACAGCTGTTCAGTATTTCCCGGTTTGCAATAGATGTATAACGTTGTGATATTCATAAAACTCAACAACCTCCACAAATTCCTACACTGATACTCCTTGTTTATACTGACTTTTCTTTTTTAACAAGTGAATGCTAAATGAAATTCTTTATATATGAATTGATTAATTGCTACTTGTATTTAAAACAATTATTATAATTACGATTGTTACTGTTATTATTATTTCTGTTAACGAACATCAGATTAGGAAAACACATGAAAATGGTCCTGATCTCTTTAAAAGACATCAAACTTTAGCTAATTATAATTATTACAGTAATAATTAAAACTTGAACATTATCTTTGCCTATCTTTAATATGCAGACTTGAATCTAATGTTTTCCTGTTTGATGATCATAAATAACCACCATTATTAGTTGAAAAGATTCAAATCTTTGTAATTTAAATCCAAGTGTGTATCAAACAAGGGTGTTCAGTTATATCACAAAGCTAAGTGATGCTTAAGTTTATTTTTCTGAGAATGAATAATAGTTTGTTGTTTTTTTTCAACATGTACGGACACAAACTGAAACAATTAAAAACAACGAGTAATAACTAAACTGTTAAATCACTCTAGTTCATCCCACTCTAATTGACTAAACTGATAGTTATGTACATCTATTCAAACTTGACAATGTTTGATCTATCTATACAATGATTACAATACCTTTTAGATCGTTAATATTGAGAGCCTTAGAGAAATGTAGTTAGTATAATAATGATAAATAACCTTCAAGTAATTTACATAATCTTATAGTTTATTTTGAGATATACTTTGTATTACTGTCAAAACTCTGTGGTTTTATTTCAGAAAAAGATTCATATATAGAAATTGCAACTATTTCTAATGATTTTTAATGATACAGTTTATTAAACTGAATTTATATACTTTGAATGATACACATTCCAAATGACTTAAATTATTCATATTAAGAAACTATGTTGTCAACTAGAACAAATCAAGTACTGTAACACACCAAGTGAAAGAATATCTCTTGTTTATTCACAATGTGATTTAGTTTCAATCTGAAATTTCTTATAACTCTATTCATGCAAAACTAAATTATACAGTAATATTGTTATCACGAGTAGCATTACCAGCTAAATCTAAAACTTCCGCAGCCAGATATTCGAGAATCGCAGCTAGATAGACTGGAGCACCAGCACCAACTCGTTCAGCGTAATTGCCCTTGCGTAGAAGACGATGTACACGACCAACAGGGAATTGGAAACCAGCACGGGCCGACTTTGTTTTAGCCTTACTATGAACTTTTCCACCTTTATCGCGTCCACTCATTACTTTATCTGCAGCAATTTGGAAGACTCTCCCGGTCTCCCACATTGTACGAGTAATCCATGTGCCAAAATAAATGGTTGCTCTGGTTGTCAGAAGGGGCATCGGCCTCGTGACTTCCGAAGGAGTTCGGCTTTCATCATGAGGCGTCATAACTCTTCTAAATGAAGACCTTCTGACTCCCAGGGCAGAGTTTAAGAGGTTTGAATAACTTTTTCTGGTTAGCGTTTTTTTAGCGATTTAGTTTTCTACAGGATGGGGTCGCTAACCCCATGCCAAACCCCCCTCCTTTATCCAGGCTTGGGACCGGCAGTAGCCCCCAGAGGGACTCCAAGCGGAGTTATACAGTAATACTAATTAAACACAAATTAATATAAAAAATAAATAAATATGATTTTACATAATTTACTCAATAATAGGTATATATGTGTATGCAGAAATCTATAGAAACACATTAATCTACATTTAATTACTACCTACTCATAAAAATAAATACCATATTGTTTAGCTGTTTGAGTTCATCAAACTGTAATGCAGTTACTAGTTTCAATGACTTTATCCGATATTCGTTAGTTGAAAGTAAAAACCAGTAAGGAATGTTTATTGTAGCATTCATCAGTTGATCATTTTTCAACTACATTCTATCAAAAATATCATTCAAGCCTATGACATAGACTAAGGTTACTTACTTATTGATGTCTAATATTTATTCAATTAAAATCAAAAACTGACTAGTTATAAACTTTATAGTGTAGTGAACAAGAACATGAGTGTGGACAATCGAACGTATTTAACACAAAATTACAGGACTTGTTAATAAAATCTAGCAATCATAAAGTAAATGCTTACTTTGCAAAATGTCGACCAATTGTCTCAAAATGACTTAGACTTCATTGTTATTGCATCTTCATACGAATCGCATCCTGTTTCCATTCTTCACTATTCGATCCTCTTGTATATCTGCTGCCAGACTTTCTGTTCACGACTAACGTCATATACTACTTATGTCAATATAAGTAGCACACACCACAATAGTAATTCCGACTTATTTTTTCAAACTAAAATGCTTGAATTACGTAAAATCTATTCTTTACGTTTTCAACTGTTTTATTAAGATTTACTTTGATTTTATAATAATCATTCCTTATTTAATATTTTTCATAATTATAATATTTAGAAGGATAATTCTTCATATCATACACTGTATAATGTTCTACTAATTTTAATTTTTGATTATTCCTTTGAAGTAGTTGTAGATTCAATTCAATAGTGAATGATATTTAAGCAACAGAAATATCTTTTATCTAACAGGAATTTGGAAATGATCTTCAAAGAATAGATAAACGATGAATGAATTCAAATATTAAAAAGTCCTTGTGTTTTGTAATATTTTATTGAAAAAAATTAAGAATATGTAAGATATACACTTTCTGTATGCAATTTACTATAGATGTGTAGTTTATTCAAGATAAATTGTATGTACAACTTACGTTGAAATTAATTCTATCATTATGCATTTTGTATTGTGATTCAACTAACTTCTTGTTGCTTATAGTCTCTACATAAAACAACGATTGACGAGTACTTGTTATATTTATTGTAGACATATATAATTATACAGAATACTATGATAATTATCTGGGAATTATGTCAAACTTGTGTTTTCACATGGACATTTATCGAAGGAATTCATATACACGAATTAATTGTCGTTTCAGTATTTCAACCGTCAGTGAATATGTATCCTTTGATGATTGCAGCATGGGGTAAGTAATGTAATTGGTTTCTTTAGTAATACACAAAATTACTTGATGAGATTATAATATGTTGAATAAATCAAAACAGCCCTTACGTGTCCGAAAAAAGGTATCGATTGTCTTTTTATAAGAACACAAATCATATTCCCATCTCTTATAAGACACTTATCTGTAGAAAAATTTGGATGTTTTGCAATGAGTTTTCCTCTTAATAAAGCACATGATAATTTGTAGGCATTCACAGTTTGTCTCAGTGTGAACAATAAAAAAAGATTGACATTTTTGATGTTATGTAACACAAAATATAATTACTCTTTTGTTTACCGATTGAAGTTTATAACAAGGAATTTGTATCTCTATAACCTTCTGGTCTAAATACCTGTCGTTTATTATAATACATATTGAAGTATCACTAAATATATTGTAAGAAAAATACGACTTCTGCTATTTAGTTGGTCAGTGGTATCCTGAAAACACTTTTTTACACTAGTAGAAAATGAATTATTCAGTAGTTTATTCGTACCAGTATCACAGACGTACTTCATTATAGGATGTATTTTATGACAACAGCATATGTATGAACATGTGAAGCGTGTGGGTTAAAAACTGATTGATTAAAATCAAACAGGTTTTTGCATATTTAGAACTTTCTAATTTTGCTTTTTAAGAAATGACAAACTGAATGCTTCCACGCAGTTATCAATCCATTGCCTAGTATACACCTTTTTCATTTCAATAAATGCAAAATCATCTTGTTTGATTCCACACATCTAATCCTATTGATAAATCTGAACGAAACAAAACAGAAGATACATATAATAAAATAGTTAAATATTATCTAAATGACTCTCATCAACTTCAAACAATTCAAAGCTATCAAGAATAATATTACCGGAAACAAAATCTTGATATAGTTTAGTTACTGAAATTAAGACGTTGATTTCTATTCGGATTATTGGAATTACATACAACTGACGATATAAGAGTGGAACAAAAAGCTGATGGGATTTATTATGTGACTACTGTTCAAAATATATTGTTTAATGGGCTTGAAGTAAACGTAAACACTTATATTGATACTTTCTGGCAGATGAAAACATTACAAATTTTGTGACTGAAAGCTTAAATAATATTTTTATATATCATCCAACTTAGAGGTGACTCTCATAAATTCTTTTATAAATACACATAATAACTGGTTTCTAGACATTTAATTATTTTTCTGTTCCTTCTTACAGTTGTACCTATTTTCATAACAGGACTGTGGCTAAGTGCATGGCTATATACAAATAAAATAGACGTGTAAGTTCAGTATTACTTAAATAAGTAATAAATTCTAAGCTTCTCTTGATTTTAATGTATTTTCGGAACAAGCTTAATAACGACTTAACAATTGTAGTTGATTTTACCTAAATAAGTCTTGACAATAACAAATATATTACCATCTATCCATTGGTTAACTTATTACTAATTTTAAAGATTCCCATTGTGAAAATTAGAACAACACATATAAGCGAACAATTGTTTTCAATTAGATCGTCATCAGGCTTTACTCTAATATACATGAATATTTATACGAAAATGTTAAACCAATCAAGGCAATATGAGTCAATAATCACAATGAACTAGAATAAGTCACTACACATAAAATAGGTAAAAGTACAAGTTGATAGTACGAAGACAGGTGAACAGGTGAACAGATAGTGGTAAGAATAATAAACTATAATAACAAAACTCTTATCAATAGTTAATCGTTGGAAATAGAAGGTCAAATAAACATGGGTAAATAGACTAGGAATAGTAATCACAAAACCTTAAAAATCATTACTTAATAAGATGTGTGTAAATAATTAGATAGTGAAGAATACAAAGAGGCGGATAATGACAAACAAATAATGGATGTGGAAATAAGGTTAACAATAACACAAATAGAATAAAATAAATAATGATTATAATAAAATTTAAAATAAAAATAAAAAATAAATAAATAAATAAATAAAAAAAATTGTTAGTTAAGTTATAACTGGCCATGGAAGGGATAGGGGAGTCACGTATTTCTTCTGTACACATAGATTGGGGTTATATGTACGAATTCCAATGGCTTCAGCTATATATAGGAGACGGGAACGGACTCCGTCGGGAAATGATGGAGGTATACGATAGATAACTCGAAATGATTTCGATTTCTCTACTGTATGACCGCTATCAATAAGATGTGCTAGTATAGAACTCCGAATAGTTTTTCTCTGACCCTTTATGTACCAAGTTGGTAAATGTTCGACTGTTCGTAAGAAACCTTTATACATGAAAGTGCAATTCAACGGGGATGTGGCTAGTGACACTCTGAAATATAGGTTAACCAAAGTAATCACCAAGACATTCTACGCAGCCAATCTTGCGTTGACCTTCTCTTGTCGTCCAGCGATGTCTACTCAAACGAAGGATAAGTTACCTGAGTTGGCCTCTTCCATGTGCATTTACAAATTCAGCTGCTCCTGTGGAGATAGCTATATAGGGCGTACTACCAGGCAACTTAACCAACGAATGAGTGAACATTTACCAACTTGGTACATAAAGGGTCAGAGAAAAACTATTCGGAGTTCTATACTAGCACATCTTATTGATAGCGGTCATACAGTAGAGAAATCGAAATCATTTCGAGTTATCTATCGTATACCTCCATCATTTCCCGACGGAGTCCGTTCCCGTCTCCTATATATAGCTGAAGCCATTGGAATTCGTACATATAACCTCAATCTATGTGTACAGAAGAAATACGTGACTCCCCTATCCCTTCCATGGCCAGTTATAACTTAACTAACAATTTTTTTTATTTATTTATTTATTTATTTTTTATTTTTATTTTAAATTTTATTATAATCATTATTTATTTTATTCTATTTGTGTTATTGTTAACCTTATTTCCACATCCATTATTTGTTTGTCATTATCCGCCTCTTTGTATTCTTCACTATCTAATTATTTACACACATCTTATTAAGTAATGATTTTTAAGGTTTTGTGATTACTATTCCTAGTCTATTTACCCATGTTTATTTGACCTTCTATTTCCAACGATTAACTATTGATAAGAGTTTTGTTATTATAGTTTATTATTCTTACCACTATCTGTTCACCTGTTCACCTGTCTTCGTACTATCAACTTGTACTTTTACCTATTTTATGTGTAGTGACTTATTCTAGTTCATTGTGATTATTGACTCATATTGCCTTGATTGGTTTAACATTTTCGTATAAATATTCATGTATATTAGAGTAAAGCCTGATGACGATCTAATTGAAAACAATTGTTCGCTTATATGTGTTGTTCTAATTATTACTAATTCATATTATGAACATGATATACAAAAGTTCATGCGGTTAGTTATCTAATTCTCTGATATTCATCATACTATGAAGCATTTTATATCTCCTTCATTTCAGTGGTAGATAAATATGTTATACTACAGTGGTGTTATGGAAATCCTGTATTATTTAAAGCTAGTTTTAGTCGCGACCTGAAACAACATGAAGCACCACTAAAAAGCCGAAAGCAGTTGATCAAAATTTCGACGCATTTTAGGGATGCTTAACAGAACTGGTTTAAGAAACCAGAAATAACATTTTGCTGGACTCTCATATATAGCAATAAGAGACATAACATGCACAGACTTAATTGTAATTCAATGGTACACACTATTAGTTTAAGTCACCTCCTATGTGCCATTCTAAAACATTTTGATAATTCTGAATGAAGCACATCCCTGATACAACTATATCATTTCTAGTTAGAAATACGTTAGCGGAAAATTAGTCTCATATACCTGATATAATGGTTTCTCACAAATGACTGAACGTGTCTTATTATTAAGACTAATGTGTTTGGGCGTACTTCAAGCCCTGTAATAATTAAATTTACTCACTGTCTATATATTTTTTACCCATGGAATGATATCACTTGATTCCGTAAAGATGAAAATTTTAATTTTCACATCCCAATTAATAAGCAAAATAGAAAATGATTAATTATGCACATTATGGCATTGTTTCATATAATCAGATAATATACTGCATTAAATCTGGGAATAAATATTTACGTCATATGCAATCTAAGACGGATGTTCAAACTTTAGTAGCAAAGTAGAAGTAAATATTAAATAGAGAACGTCAAATCGATAGCTTCATCCTCAATATCTTGTACACAGATGAAAAACTGGAATTTGTCGATGTTGACAATTCGATATTTCAATGGTTAAGATCATGAGTCAGTTGAAGCTCGACCACCATGGAAAACCTGGAAGCACTGGACGGCCATTTCGATACTTCACTATTGATTCCGTGAATACAAATAAAACCTGCTTTTTATTGGATGGATTCAAAAATTTAACTAAACTACAAATTTGACCATATATCCGACCACATATAAAATAGAACAGTGTTACAAGTCACAATTATACACAATAAATTGGAATTCTAAAGTTGTACTGATTATTCTTTTCATCAAGAACTAAGCTAATGTTTTCAAATACTGATTAGCTAATTTGCCTAAAAGTTACAGTAAAATGCACTGCATAAAATTTCCGATCATACGAATTGAATATTTCCCTTATTCGACATACTCAAATTAGTATATTGAAAAAAAACTTTATTTAAGCTTCTATTCGCAATTTCATTTAATAAAATATAATAAACAAACTGTACTGCCGTTTTCTTCATATTTATTTCGCTTATCAAGAAGCTGGTCATTTTATACATTTCATTCAACTTACTGGATTTTGAATAGTTTCAGATTAATTTTACTATCGGTAAGCTGTTTTTCATATTCATCCTTGGTTAAGATACTGAATTAATTGTTTTGACAGTAATTATTCAGATATAACATACCTACTTTATAATTTATTATGCTCTTGATATATAGACCGAAATAAATTAAAAATCATGCCAAGAACCAAGAATTCGATTAAAATATTAGATTACTTTCATTTGAAAAGAAACCCTTTATAATAAGCAATAATCATTAGCATAACTAAACAACCAACAGTCAGATAAGTTTAAACAAAACAACAATAATAATATTTAAAGAATATGATCAAGTGATTTCCTTCTAAGGACTTTGTTCATTTACAAGCAACCCAAACGTACAAAGGATCATATTATTAGAAACAAGGAATTGACATGCATTAGTTAATGAGTTTAAGACGCCTCGTTTCGAAAACTTAATTGCCCAGTTACACTACAAATCTTTTTTGAAACTCAACTGACTATAATATCCAAAAGAACAAAATAATGTTTTTAGAAATTCCTTCTTTTAAACTATTCTTTTCGAATGACGCAGATAAACCTTTAATGCATTAAGGCATAAATAACCGCGATTATTCCTTCTAATATCTGTGACGTACAATTCATTTATCTATTCAAGTTATTTATTTATTTCCTTATGCAAGTTATTTATTTATTTCCTTATGCACATGAGATTTTTCCTTGTTTGACAAAAATTTACTAGACGAATATGGCTTTCCTTTTCAATGTAATCCGAGTTCTTGTTCGAAGACTTCAGACAAACTATGCACCGGAAATTCTGAAATTAAAGTATGTGTTTACTTTCAATTAGCTATTTAATTACGACAAATGTTTTATTTACAAAAGTTAATATCAATAAAATACCCTGAGTAAAATGGTGATATTCTAGTTAAAGATAAAACTTAAGATTTCATAGAGATTACTTCATATCTGTTTATTACACCACATTCAGGTTTGTACGATGTGTCACGGAAGAACCCATGTTTTTAGAACTACAGGTTTCTTTATCATATAAACAGTATGCAGAATCATATTAGTAGCGGTTGCAGAATAAACCTATTTGTAAAATTGCTGACAATGAGTAAGATCATTCTCAGTAGTGAGACTCATTTAAATTCCATTTTTTATTGATTCAAATAGTTAATTAACGTGATCAATAAGCAAGCGGACGATTTTCACAAGACTAAAAGCCCGTAAAATAAAAACGATTCACAGACCTTTACACACTCATGCAGAAATTACTCTTAAGTACTAACAGAAATAAGAGAGCACTGCAGTAAAGGTACTGGAAAGGCGTGCTTTTTACTGTCGGAGACTTGAGCTAGTACACCATTTCAATCCATAAGTTTGTCAATTACAGATCAATAACCAAACTGTACGATTACGGACAGGTGCCGCTTCTGATATCACCATCAAATTACATGGAATATGGAAACCATAAGAACATATAATGTAACCAACTTAGCAGGAAAAAACAAGTTCTTTCAGAGGTAACCTACTATTAACAAAATGATTTCAGTTCAGTATCATTTAAAGACATTACTTTCACAGAAACAGCCCGCGTCGCTGTTTCTGATCCAAGCTTTCTACGTTTAAACTGGTTTAGCAATCTTCATTCGGTAGATATGTCCCTTATCGCCGTATGTAGCAAAGTTTGATCAGCTATGTTTACAGCACAAGAACCAGATAAGCTCGATAATCAAATGATAACAAAGAAGTATGTTAATTTGCGTGAATGATGCAGTTACAAGCTGTAGACTGGAGAGAAACGTGATTTCTACAAAATCTGGAGAATATGTAAAAAAACCAAAAGTATCACCATCTTAGCGATATTATCAAACAAAGGTGCTACATCGCTTCGTGGTATTAAAATATCGAATTTTCAAATACAGATTATTAGAAAGAAGTCAAGTGAAAATAATGCACTTTTTAATCTGATTTTCGTTCCTTTGACTCTAGCATTTATTCAGTGTAGCTAACAGACATTATAATATTTACTTGACTTATTAGGATACAAAGTGGAAGTTAGTAAGAAAACTAGTAATACAGTAATATCCAAATCCTTATCAAAACTTATGTAAATTAACGACGTCACAGTTATCAACACTGTCTAGAATAATGAAAAAAGACGAGTAAATATTTTGTTTGAAATTATCAGAAATTAACAGTTGATCGTAGTCTTAGTCCTACATTTAACCCAGTAGATAATTAAGAACATCGTGTAAATTGACAAGACTTTATTGATACAAAGACGAATTGAAGTAGAAAAACTCATACGGAAAAATTATTGATTTTATACACTATATGCGTTTATCCAAATCTATTCAAGGAGATTAGGATGAGATATCAATTGACTTGACTTTTATGCATCACAATAAGACCACTGAAAGATTGCCTAAAAAATCAAAATGTAAACATTTGATTAAAAGACAATTTTTTAATTCAGAAATAGTCCTATTTCAACAAGTTACTAATATTTGCTTTTTTCCTTTTAGAAAGGCTGTAAAAGCTGCTATCCTTTTAATGCCGTTATTAGGAATTACTAATTTTATTGTACTTTTACCAGAACCTAAACATCCTTTGGGATTTTTTATTGTTTCTGGAATACGCCGAGTGCTGCCAACGTGGCAAGGATTTATTATATCTATGATATATTATTTTATGAATAAAGATGTAAGATTTATATTGTTTAAGATAGCAACTAACTTGAATTTCATTTGTTATCATGGTGACAAACCCAGCGTATATTCTTTGGAAACGACTTGGCTACTAAATACATACGTAATATTTATGGTATAAACTGTTTAGAAGTTAGACACAATGGTCATTACTTTGAAGTACCAATGACCTCATCTCATGAATATTCGTGTGATCACACTTTTAAATAAGCTGGTACTAGTTTAAGTGAAATATTATTCGAACAATTCTACAATTTCAATAGTCGAGATCATGAGTCAGTTGAAGCTAGACCACCGTGGGAAACGTGGAAGCACTGGATGGCCATTTCGTCCTGTTGTGGGACTCCTCAGCAGTGCGCATCCACGATCCCGCTTCGTGAGATTCCAATCCTTCTGGTACTGATTCTATAATTCATTAACGGTTGTTGTAAAGAATTCAATAAGCCGATTGCTAATAATTCATTTGATAATGACTCATCGATTTCTTATTTAATATAGTTTCATAAATGGAATTTTCATAAAATATCCAATGTAAAACTTTGAAAAAATGACTTGTATGTCTCAAGAAAACACCAGAACTCTTGTTATAATATTTCAGTATATTTTGATGTTTCGTGAACTTCTTTGTCACATATTCGTAAGTTGAGAAACCTGATCAAGTTCTACAGTTAGAAAGTGTAGTAAACTTTATTTACAACAATTTGAAATTTTATTTTCAAGTGCTTATTTGAAATAACAAAAAGTCAGTCAACTTTAAAATTTGATCAGGACCTCATGTAAGGGACAAAACATTAAAGATGACATTAAAAAACAATTTGAAATCGCTTTTATTTTATAACTCCTGTTACAAAAAACGTTTACTCAGAAACAGTATTTTTCACTATCCAAAGTTAACTTTTATATATAAACTATATAAATGTCAAATGTGAGGAAACGTAAACATCTTTTTACTCAGAAACAGTTATTGTCCAAACAAATTCGACATAATTACAAAGCTTTTGAATTATAATATCATAATGACGAAACGACATTACATAGGATTATATTACCACATGCTTTAGAACTGATGAATTAGATATTCATATATATAACATATGGCTTATTTCAGTTTTCTAAAGGAAACCTACAAATAGCCTTTCATATAACAACATATTAGCATAACGAAAAATAAAATATGGACCCTTTTATTTAAGTATTAAAATAAAATAAAAATTACATATTAGTTGTTTACAACGATGTAAATCGTGTGAAAAGAATGCACTTTAATTTACAAATTCTTCTTAATTTAAATATAATTAAACACTGGTAGTTAACCTTTAAAATTATCAGCGTATAACTACTAATGATCAGGTGATATTTATTTATCTGCTGTTAATAATTATAAAAAAATGTAATTATGTAGTGATTAACCTCAATCACTCTATATTCATCAACAACTATTTTCATAATCATTTCTGGAAATAATTTGACAAATTCTCCATTAATTAATAACTTAAAAATAAAATCACCAACAGATTATTATAATTTATTTTTGAACATAATTGAAAAGTATATCATATACAATATTAGTAAAGATTTGAAGTAATAGATTATTGTGGTGAAATTGCCACCCAAATACACTGGTACGTCCAAGGGTGGGGAGAATCCTCTCTCCCTATCGAAATGCTCTCACATGGACACGTGTATACAGTCACTGACAGAGAAGTCCTGCTCACTGCCTTTTCGTGGCGGGGGTGTTGTTCACGGAATTCAGAGGACGAAAAATGGTCTGACAATTTAACCGGGTTGGTGGATATGGAGGACCCACCTAGGGAAGTTGGAAAACCCTGATTACAAACCAGTTATGCACACGGGCCCCAGGATCCTGAAGGAACCAATGGCGTATGAACCAATCGTTGGTCACCGGCTACCATCAGACTGCATCTCCTGACGTTGCTCCACTACCTTGTGGATCAGACCCTTGGATTGAAGGCTCCGGGCAGTATCACAGCCCACACACAAATCAAGTGACTTGTGTGGTGCATATGTATTCGGTGCCCATTTGCACCATTATTTATATGATCAAATAAATAAATAAATGAGTGGTGAAATTATGAACTAAGCCATAAAATGTTACATCCAGATATTTGATAAGACAATGAATCGACACAAATATGCTACAAATAAAAATGCTAATACTCCACTTATATATACTCGTATTGTATATTAACATTTAATTGCAAATCTGGTTGTACAGATTTCCGAATAGTTATACTCATCATGTGGATTCATGAGATAAATATATTGAACTTTGTTTGGAAATATAAATTTGTTCTCGCAGATAAGAATAGAATATTTTTTGTTTCAATATTTACTGATTTTAAAACCGTTTATAATGCTACGAATATGGTGACAAATACTGTTACAATAAAAGATCAACTTAATTAAGATATCCAAATTAAAAGCTGTGGATAGCTAAAGCTTACACAATATAAATGATAGAACGGAAATTCACATGACAACTAATTAAATTCGAACAGACATTAAATTATTCGTGGATCCATATATGCCACAAATATATACGGTTGTACAACTTTGAAAATGAACACGTTGGAAACAATTCCTTCACTGAAGAAATCGTTTCATGATTTATTCAGCATATTTAAATAGATTAAATGAGGGAGATATAAAATGATTAGATGACAAAACCAAGGAGCTAGTAGAAAATAGGATAGACCAGGAATACAAGAGAACCATACACTGAGGTTTGAGAATAGTGAGACAAGTGGGTGGTGCACTTTGAAGAGCATTTGGACAGACAAGTCCCACTGAACCCACCGGACATCGAAGCAGCATACACAGACATTTCCATAAATGTCACCTCACAAATAATAGGAGAAACTAGCAGGGTCATCAGACAAATTAGTATTTCCAAAGGAGCAGGACAAGATAGAATACCAACTAAAGTACTAAGGCCAGACATAGAAGTAACTGTAAAAAGTTCATTGTGCTCAGTAGAAAGGTTTGTAACGGAGAATAAAAACTAACTGACTGGAGAGAGACATCTAATAAACACATTAAAGAAAGGAAATTTCAGTAAATGTGAGAACCACAGAGACAGCATACTACTGTCAGCATCAAGTTGTTTCCAAGACTGTTGCTGAACCGAACGAAAGATTCAGCTGCCGTTCAAATTTAAGATTCGAAAGCTGAAATTTATAGGAATCGATCAAGGACAGAATCGCGACACTGAGGATTATTGGTAAACAAATAATTGAATGGAACTCATAGTTAAAAAATCAACTTCTTTGATTATATAAAAGCTTTCAGAAATGTGGATAGGGAAAACTAGTGGAGTCTTTCTCGTTTCTAAAGAGTACCTGAGACGGCTATCATTATAATACAGGACTTTTAGAACGGATAGGATTCCAGTGTCGTGTATAGGAGGTGGCTCATAGATGAATTCCAAGTGAATACGAGTTCCAGACAAAGTTGTTTACTCCCGACTTTTCTCTTGCTTCCGGTGGTCGACTGGATTTTCAAGACCTCCACACCTTGGGAGAAAAGCTGATCTTAGTAAACAACATAGTGACAGCTGGGTGAAATGAACTTTGCAGATGAGTAAGACCTACGATAACACATACGAAAACAAATATATATAAAGCAGACAGTCTAACAACGGCTACCGTGACAGTAAGCCTCAGAATTCACAAAGGAAAGAGTAAGATGGTAAACTACAGCAAAGACACCACCAAACAAATCACACTTAATGGCCAGGGTCAGTACGATATGGAGCGCTTAACCAACAAATACAGCATGAACGACAAGCATGGGAGGTTTGATATAAATAGTAAGGTATCAGTTGGAAAAATTAAGGACAAGATCCATAAAATAAAAACATATGAGACTCAAAGCAACTGTCACTCAAGAATAAAATCAGAATTTTCAACACTTATGTTGAAATAATCCTGTCATTAGGAGCTGAAAATTGGATAACTACTACCAGTATTTATAAAAATCTGTCTACCTAAGATACACCAGATCTGTTGGTCAGAGACCACCAACAATAACTTACTCTGCTAGAGAACAAGCCAGCTACCAGTTGAGGAAGAAATTAAGAAAACATAGTGGAGATGAATAGGACATGCTGAGGAAGTCACTAAAGTGAATCAAAAGGCAATCGCTGAATTGAAATTCCCAATGCTAAAGGAAGAGGTATATCAAAGAACAAGTGGATCCGGGAGTCGGAGTCAGACATCGAGAATACGGGAACAACTTAGCAACAACTGAGAAGGATCACAAAACAAAGATACTTGAAGCTCTCTGGTTAACAAACTATACCCAGTAACTAAGTAAGAACTTTTGAAGTGTAGTCAACGATTTAAGTTATCTGGTACACTGAAAAATTATTGGAGTTCAATGCATTTATACACATATTTTGCTTGAAAGTTTCTGTATTATCGGTAAAAATACCACAGTTAGATGGAACGTTTGAAATTACATAGTTATTTCTTCAATGGTAATATCTCAATGAGACTTTCGAATCTCAGATGTAGCACCAATTCTCTGAACATGATGTGTATGACTTAGTGATGATATTTGAAAGTCATAGGTTGAAAGTAAGTGGTTTCCATCGGCTGCGATAAAGTGATATATTCATTTACTAAACGAAGCTGCTAGTGGAGAGATATTTTAGTGATTAGGGCGTTTAGACACTAAGTCCTGAGTTCAACACTCTCTCAGCCTCTGCTTTGAGCAGTTGGATAGTATCAGTAAACTTGAAACAGAATGTGCCCCATATCCAAGCACCTGAAAAATACGTTAATATAATTCATAAGAACTAATATGACTTACAGAAAATTATGAACAATTTTACTGGAAATAATGTTTATCTTTATTTCAGGTTCAGAAATGCATACACATGTCAATCCGAAGATTCAAATCAAAATATCAACTAGAACATCATCGTTTTACTTCATCTTCTCTACCCATAACAACTATACCAACAACAAATTCCACATAAGCAATAATTAAGAAAACCTACTTTTATCAACAGAATTGAATTCAGATAATATTTATACTTCGGATAACGACTAAACACTGAACAAGAGCAGTTCAAGATACAAAACCTAAGCAGACAAACACCAATGAAGACAACTTTATGAGTCGAAAGGAATACAATTAAAATAAACAAATAAAATGATGTACAGAACAAAACATGGTTAACCTTTAACCGAATATTATGACTTACATTTAAAACATTTAAACAATATTTTCTGATTTATAATGGTTCTACAAAAGATTTCGATAGGCGGAAATTTTCTTAAAATCAATACAATATTCATAAAGAATAAAAATAAGACAATTACAAAAGACTGTTCCAGAAGCGATTTCCCGAAATGTCATAAAAAGCCGAGATCAGTAGATTTGGTAAGGTGAGGCGTGAAATGTAAAATAAAATTGAGAATCGAATGAGAATAGAGGATTAAAAAGAAATGACTGAAATTGAAAACGCGTACCGTCAGATTTTGACTCAGTGACTTAATAGTATTGTATGTCCCAAGAAAACTTAAGGATTTGGTTTCAATCATATGTGTGATTGAAAGAGTAAAGAGTTAAGGTGCTTAAAGCCAGAATAGCGTTCCTACAACAGAAACATATTTGAAACTCAAAGCAACTGTTACTGAAAAATAAGATCAGAATTTTCAACACTTATGTTGAGATAATCCTGTCAATTGGAGCTGAAAATTGTAAAACTACATTATACGGAAGGTATGACAGGTTTTCCCAAATCTAGTCAAAAACTATGAAATCAACCATTTGAAGTCATGTATTGCTATCCAAAGTATACAAAAGATACTTTGTTGACTGAAAATAAGACCAAAACCGTAAAACTTACTGGACTCTATTGTCGTCATGTTACAAGTATTGGAAACATAACGCGAAGATCAACACACGCGCTTTGACCTTGTGCAAAATATCTGACTCAATAGAGACTATTGTTCCAGGTCATTGACCTTGAGAGCAGAACACAGTTGGACAGTTTTTCTCAATCTTCAGAGCTTTTACTTCTCGTAGCGACTACAGATTCAAAGCATTACCTGAGACAATGGACTCTAGAGTATTCACTCTTCTTAAAGATTTATCAGAAATGGATACTTAAACACTGAATCTTCTACGAGAGGGTGTTATAATTACACCTTTGCTTATCGCTCGTTGGCGTCCTATGATTTATATGATTCTTCGGGAAACAATAAATAAATGAATAACGTACCTGTTCTCGTAAAGCGAGGCGGCTGTATCAGATTAGTCTAATAGAATTTACCTCCAGTCTGTATAGCTTATTCCGTCATTCAGCCTCTATTCGACTAGACAGAGCTGGAGTTTCCAAAGCAACAACGTTATTGACACTCCTGAGCTATTGATAAAACAGTAGTCATAGACGTTGCGGTCGTCTCATGCAGCCTACACTGACGAGAGCCCTACCTAAAACTCAACAGAAGTCTTGAGAGTGAATCTGAGCGCATGGCTGGTGTACCAAAGTCTTCAGTTCGCAAACGTGAATACGTCGACATTATCCACTCCTTTTATAGTGAGGAGCAGCCTTAATCTTGGCAACACACTCGCAATAGCTAAATAAAGGTGCAGTCTCAGAAAATTGGAAGTTTACATACATCACACCAACTTTTAAAGGTCCCCGACCCAACGGGCCTTCGAAGTGCTGATCGGTTGCACTTCGTTCAATACCCCCAAAGGTTATGAACTTCCTGATGTGCAATGGCCCATGCGACTACTTGTTATTCACATAGTTCTTTTCGCCTCCAACATTACGCTTCCAGGAAGTATCGTTTCTGAATCACTGACCCATTCAGTGCAGTGGACAGATAGACTATCATCCTCATTAGCAAAGAGAAGGTGGACATAATTTACCTCAATTTCTTAAGTATTTGACAGGGTCGATAAGACACATCTTATCAATAAACTCGATCCAATATGTGCCAGATCTTCATCAACAGGCTGTTTCGAGTTGTTTATAGACGTTTAAGGATAATAGAAAACCTAACATTTTATCGTGCTGCAGGACGTCTTGACGGATTCTTCAGGGCTTGATACTGGGACCTCTTCTGTTTTTAATCAGTGTAAGATAAAGAGAGCACAAAGAGTAATCACCCTCTTATGGCGCGTTAATGCACATATTAACTGTTACTTCATATCAAGTGTGAATAGCTTTTTCAAAGGTTTTTAAAAACAACACCGCCAACTGTCGTGATCCGACGAGCTAAATCACAACACAATTTAGATTTGATGTAGAATCTTATGAGTTAGACAGTAAGATCATAATAAGTCCACAGTATTGGACTAGTTTTATTATTGTAGTACCGTACATAAATACACTCACTACAATACTAGACGTGAATCCCACAAAAGCCTCTAAAGTACCTGAGAAACACATGTTTTACAAAGAACAGATATACGTTCACTGAAAATATTTTTTGAAACTGCGAACGTGACATGTAGATGCAAACAAAAGGACTTCGATTCTTCTTTTTTGTCGTCCGAAACAAAGTCTAACAGGATATAATGGAGAACCTATTGAAAAATAGTTTGTGGAGCTCTCACCATGAGAGGTTGTGACTCGAGTAAAAGTTGACATGTCGGAACCATTTTTTCCAACAGAATGTCCCGGACGTTGTCAGCATCTGGGCTCGAAATCAGCTTCAGGATTTCGATAGCGCCAACATACGAACTTTTTTAAGGAAACTACTTATGTTTTATTTGCAATTTGCAACATATCCTAGGTGGCCTACTTTACGTTTTAAAGTGCCGAAAGTGTGTCTGTAGAATTATGGTCTACTATGATATTAGTACAGCTCTAATAATAGACTTAGTCCTAAAATTGTAGGTTTATCATCATATAACTGCCTAATATATATGATCTTACACGGAAGTCATATTAATATCTACACCAACTCATCGCGTCGTAACAATCATCAATATATGATGAAGAACACACATAGGCTAGATATAGAACAATATATTTAATATGAATAAAAGGTACATTTTGGCACTCAATAATGACCACGCCTGTAAGGCCGAGCCATGCCATCCGATGGATTCGAATTAGTCCAATTCATTCTTCCCGACTTCTATATCGTTGGGTTTTTCGCCGCGTCAAATGTTGGATATGTATTTTCCCAGTTGTCTCGTGTTCAGCTTTAAGTATTGTATGGTTAGGGCCCAATACCACTACAAGTCCATCGTTTTCTGTCAAACATCAGAGTGAAGTCTGATTCCCCTGAGTTTCTAGTTTGTCATCCTGATTGCCCACTTTACTCTAAAATTTTGAGATCTCCGGCGAGGGGTAGCAACTCTAACGGTACTCGCTAGATATCATTAAAATGAATGAAAAACGGAAGGTATCCTTGCACTGAACTCTGAGGGATCCCACAAGAACATCCAGTAGCGCGAGAAAATGCAGTTTTCCACCAATTCTACACGTTTAATTGCTGTGAACTTTCAAAACCTATAGGACTCAACTGGGGCTGTTCAGTCTTAGTAAACCTCAATAACACTCCCTCTGATCACATCTGATATTGTGAAAATCGTACAAAAGCGGCAAAGCAACTCCAGAAAAGACCGACCAAACACATTTTGGTGCCAGTTGACGCTGATCAGCAGCCCACTGTGCAGAACAAAGAGACCACGATCTTGCTAATGCATCACGATATGCAGCCAATAACCTTACAGTGGCAAGTTTGCATGGAACTGATAAGCATTTTGAACGACAGTCTGCCAAAAAAATACAAGAGAGGTGCTGCTGTAGAGGAGGATCAAGTAATGAGACAAACCAAGCGCCTGGGTAGCAACCTAAGAAGACTAAGGAGTAGACAAGAGGAAATCACAAACATGTGCTTTTATTTAGACCTGAAGATCATAGTCCTCATTGAAACATGGTCATCACATAACACCATTGATAAGGGTGCTTGCAAGACATAGCATATTCAATACGATAGGGTACACGAAATAGGAGGTGGAATAGCAGTATGTATTAACGGCCACTTCAAAACCGTAACACCATACGGCACTGAATCAACAGGTTTTACTTCAATGTATACGGCATGGAATGCTTGACTGAAGGGATATACTGGCTCTTCACAGGTTCTAACACTTGAAAATATGAGATAATACGGGCGATACTAAAGTTACCACACCTTGATTTTGACCAAATACTACCAACTAAATGCTTCGACACTCCAACATTAAATTTCAACAAGCGAGGTATAACCCGAAGAGAATGGTTCCATAAGTAGCTTGCCACAGCTTTCAAAAGTCTAAGACTGACTGAACATGTGGGTGATACCACGAGATGATACAGGGACGGAAAACCCTTAAAATTCAGCTAGTTACTGACAAATGATTAGCTTCTAGTTGGAGATGTGAATGTCCGCCCATCAGTAGTTAGTTTAAACCTTTTTTCCTTCAAGTTTGTCGTAATAACATGTGAGATTCTAGAGAGGAGGACAAGGACGTGTAAAATTCTGGTCAAAGTCGATATTAGTACACTTATTTAAGTTCCTAGAATAATGTCTATTTCGCAATCGTAGATTTGTCATGGTCTGGAAACCTGATCTATAAGAACTTAAGTGGAACTCACATCATTAATATACTGATTCGTCTCGTCATACAGTCAGAAATATGGTGTTTAGCATCTCTAAAAAACACAATTGAGCTGGGGGTAGAATAAAATGTTTAACATGAAAAGGAACGAGTCGTACAGATTGACCATACATGAATTCCCGAGCCATGCCATACGAGTTGCTCTTCTCTCAATACTGTCAAAAGTAATGAAAGGACTGGTCAACGAATAAATACAGGAATGCATGGATGAAGATAATATCCCACATGAGACCCAATACGGGTTCAGGAATGTCAGAGCATTCGTATCTAACCTCCTCATAGCATGGGAAAGCTTGATGACCTGCTGTGACCATAAGATAATAGTTCATGCAGTGTCCCTTGGTT